GGGAAGAAACGAAGAGAGAGAGAGAGGGAGAGAGAGAGAGAGAGAGAGAGAGAGAGAGAGAGAGAGAGAGAGGGAGGGAGAGAGACATGAAACAAAAATGAAACGCCATCAGCGAGTGTTGCTGTGCGCCGCGGCGTAGCCGTGGCGGGTTCCACTTGTTTTTCTAATTTAACTAATTAGCAATTCCATTTTCTTTTTTTTTCAGACTGCCTCTTGTCTCTCTTTCTGGCAAAAATGACATTCACTTCAGAGAAGCTCTTAGGGGCTGATCCGACTACTACTACGGAACGTAGTCTACTGGGTTTCACCGGATCTGACTACTTTCCGAGTTTGCAAGTCTCCCCGTCGAGTTCGGCAGCTAGTGAAAACAAATGTGTACGTGGCATGTGTTCCGCGACCCGCGGCGAAAAAGAACTTGCCAAAATCGGAAGAAGCCAGCACCGTCCCAGCATCTGAAAAGAAGGCGGCATTTTGGTTTTTTTTTTTGGTTTTTCTTGGTGTCCGGTGGTCTGCCTTCCGTCCGTCAGGAGTGGCCCTGCATGCCCCGCCCACGAATACCCGGCACGAACTTTGAAAAAGTCCCGCCCCAACCGGGCAAGTGGGATGCAATTTCGCTGATTCGGTCCGACCGGCCCGGGACCGAGCAACGCGGTTCTTTTTGGTTCTCCCCAAAAAGAGTAGTAGTCGGATCAGCCCCTTACTCTGTAGACATTCTATCAGTCCATCTTCTTGTTGTTATCAAATTTATCACTAGTGGTTAATGGGTGTTCTCGGCGAATTTTTCACCGAAACTGCCATATTTGAAAGATATTTTTCCCTAATTGTTTGCCTTTTCTTTTTTCTTTCTTTTTTTTTTTCTTTTTTTTTTTGTCTGTGTGTGTGATATGTATGTGCTAAGTTTAGGGTATATCTGTATCCAGTTTCAACGTATTTGGACCAGTAACAAAAAAGTGGGCAAAAACACCAAATTCGGAGAAAAAACTGGCAAACTCCGAAAGCTACTACAAATAGGGTTTTATACGATTTATAGTGCTTTCAAGTTTTTTATTTTCGTTTTTTTTTGCCTTTTTTTTATGTTTGTATTATGAGCCTGCATTTTTTGTTCACGAAATTTCCCCCTACATTGCTTGTGGTGATGTGGCGGAAAAAAAAAACGAATTTCGGGTCTTCCATTAACAGCTACTCCTCCTTATTTGAATTTTGGAAAAAAAAAAAAAAAAAAGAGGTCAGGCATGTCCTTTTGCAAACCTCTTCAGCCCATCTCGTACTCAACAGGTCATGAGTTCGAATCCTGATTGGGACAGATACAAGGAAGTTTGGGGCTACCCCCTTAAAACTTATCAACTTAATATCTAGGCTACCAGCCGGGCCGCCCGGGTCACCTTCTTTGCCCGGGCTGCCCGGTCATGCAACGGCCGTAGAAGGTCACAGATTAAAAAAAAAAAATAAAAAAATTATGTTATGCAGAAAAATAAACTGAACAACTTTTGCCTCAGGGTCACATCGAAATTCTTTACCAAATTTAAAATAAAAATTATATTAAAAAAAAAAATTTGGCTCGGCCAGGCAAGTGTTCGCGGGCCACTCTGGTAGCCTAGCTTAATATATAATATAATAATTATTTACTTAATATTTTATATAGACAGTATATTTATATATCTAAACCGGTTTCCTTAAATTTCCCAAAATTATGTCCTAGTTTTCAGCCTTGTTTGCGCACCCACTTTATCAACGTAGAGAAGTTCATGCTAGGATTTTCCTCCATGTATCTGGGCGCAATGACAGCAAGATTCATTTCAAGAAATCGTAGTATGAGTGCGCCCTTCATTCATGTATGTGAGCCGCTCAATCACCGTAGGAGTCCAAACTCCAGCACCGCATTATAACAGGTCGCCTACTCATTCAGGCAGAGATGGGTTATCAGTACAAAACAAGCTCTCTTAAGCAGGACGTCCATAACGGCCCCCTCTCCTCCCCCCCCCAACTCCCCATATGTCACTGATCCGGGTGTCTATGACCATGCACCCATCTCTGAAAAAGGTCCCCCTTCTTTCTTGCCTTTTCTTTATATCCATGACCCCCTTACCCCATGGGAACCCCAATGGACCAACCTCAGTGATTCTCCAAACGCACCCCTCGCCCCTGCAAGTCTCCAAACACACCCCTTGCCCCCTCTACACCTGTGACAGAGGGTCTTAAATGTCAATAGCCATTCTGTATGCAGTTAATCAAGGTATTTTTGACCCCCATCTCTCTAAAAGGCAGGATCTGA